AGGAAAGTTCAAAACATTTTCAACCATTTTTATCAGGCTGCAAACATTTTACTAGCATCTCTCATAATCATTGCTATTCTTGTGGTGGTATACTGGTAATGACATTAGTAAAATAGAAAGTTGGAATAATACTGCTTTGGATAATACTTCCAATTTTAATTAAAAGTATTTTAAGTTCTTAATGTATTTATGACATTAGGACACAAGTCCCACCCATGCACATTTATAAAGTTGCTTTCCCTCAGTACCTGGGTTAGCTACATGATCAGAGAAGCTCTTTAAACATATATGAAGCTGCATGTCTCAGGGAATAGAAGGTATTAATTAATCCAATGAGTTAGAATTTCTATTCTACCATGTAAATTATGTAAACCCTCAGAACCCTACTGAGTAAAGATTTAGTATCCCATTTTAAAGATGAATAAAACTGTGGCTCAGAGAAGCACAGTAAGTGATAAAGTTGGAATTTTAAATCTTGTCTGTTTAATTCCAAAACCCATGTCACATTTACTGTGTCATGTTTCCTAAAGAGACAGACACTTCCAAATAAAGTTTTAAATGAGCTTATTCCATCAACAATTCACCAATTCTGTTTGTATTCTATTCAATTTAGGAAATTTTGTCTTGTAAAATATCAAAATTTTCTCCATATTCCCCTTCATTTGCATCAACATCCTCAGCTTCCAATATCCTGAATTCAAATATTTAAATCATAAAAATATATAGATAAAAAATGTTTCATTCATTTGGCCAAAAATAGTTATCAAATGCCTACTACGCAGCAAGCACATGTTAACTGCTATTTTTATCTCTACTACCTATTACTAATTTACTCCATGAGTATATAGAGATGTCTAAAATGAGAAACTTCATTAACCCCATGATTAGAGTAATTAGAAACAAATGAGCACTTACCATATTAATACATTTGTCTTCCTCTACATAAGAATATTGGTGTTATTTTAAGTTCTACAGTGTGCCATCCCCTCCTATCATTAATGAGATTTTATATCCAGAAAATAAAGCCAGGAGGCGGAGTAGAGTAGTCCTATCAGTATGGAAGTTAGAGCCAGGTGGGTTATTATTGGTTGTGAAATCTTAGTTACACCACTTAATCTTTCTGAACCCTAATTTTCTCAGATGTAAAGCTTCAATAATTATATCCCCTTGCAAGAATTTTGTGAGATAATACAAGATATATATAAAGAGCCTGAAAGAAACAAATGGCAAAATATTGGCTTACTGAAATAACTAACTTTAATTTAAATCACTATATTACCTGATTATTTCATTAACTATAAGGTTTCTTTTTTTAAGAGTCAAGTTGTTGGACAGGGAGAAAAATTCTGACATTCATGTCCTTGTTTTAAAGTACAATATTTAAAAGAAGAAACTTTCTTTTCTCAATCTGACCTTTCTACAGAGCTGTCCATATGCATGACCAAAAAAGTTTGTGTCCGTGTACTCCTTCAATAAATCCTTAAAATATACTTTATATAAGACATGTCCCATGAACACAATTCAAACAATCCTACATTCTCCAGATCTTGATGTCTACCTTTCTTCTGATAGCAAATCAATTATATCAATGAAGAAAAATCAAAAAGAAGAATGTCTAATATTACTTTATGTTTAAAGCTTGCTTTTATATGTAAAGTATATGTAATACATTTGAATTATTTTATATTCAGGCTTCAGTGGAACGAGGGAAAATATTTATTAGGCTCTTCAGATATATTATCTCTATTATTACAACTATCCTACAAATATCATCTCTATTTTACAGAGGAAGAAACTGACCAGAATATTTGAATCCAAGGTCAACATCTAGTAAGTCACAGAAACAGAATTTAAATAAGGATCTGAGCCATATTTCTTTTTACTTCTTCTCTGCTAATGTATGCTTAGCTTAGAATATTTCCTGTACAGCAGGAATTTTCATCGTGGCTATTATTTCTTCAGTATGTTGTATATTTCAATACAAATAGAAAGCCAAATAATAAGTCTATATAATGCTAAAATAGCCAAAAAAAACTACCATCTTACTAATTATTTGCAGATCTTAAGCAAGTTGCTTAACTTCTCTGTGCCAAAACTTCTTCACATATTTATTAAATAGAGATACTATCTTAGAAAGTAGTTATAATGCTGAAGTAGATTAAGACATATAAAGCACTTAGTACAATGTCTGGCACATAATAAACACTCCATAAATGTTAGCTATTGCTAATTAGATTTTTAAAATCACCTAAAGGACATATTTTGTATCAGATTACTTCAGCCAGCAATAGCTGGACACCTAAATCCAAAATCAGTCAATCCTACACTGGCTTATCATCTATGACATGACCTGATGGGAAAAGATGATGTGTGTCAATCAGATTCTCTCTCTTAAGAATCTGAATTAAGACACAAAGATTGAGCCAGTTAATAGTAATTCAGAAGATAAATGGTTTGGCTCCTGCCTTGATCAACTGAGGTTACCAATAATGCTAAATCTATTGTTCCAGTCATCCTTTCAATACCACTTGGCAGCATTCAATCTGTTGAGTAGGCCATTGATCTTGAAACATTAGTTTGGTTGCCCTCTATCTCTCTGGTTGTACATTTCTCCGTCTCCTTGGAAGGCACTAAAATAATGCAGCTACTCAACATTTCATCCCAGGCCTCTTCTCACCACACTCTTTCCTCTCCCTCTCGGGAACTTCATCCACACTGTGAGTTCAGTAATTATTTCTATGCCAGCTCAGACTTTTCGTGTTCATTCAACTGCCTTGTCAATCTCTCCACTTATTTGGATATCTCAAAGATAACTCATACTCCATACGTCCAAAACCAAACTCATGATCTTCCCTCTCAAACCTAGGCAAGGTTCCTTCCAGGGCTCCCTATCTCCATAATGGCACCACCAACTATCCAGCGGCACAAATTAGAAAATTAGAAGTATGCCTGATACTTCCTTCTTCATCAGCTCCATTTCTCATGAAGTCCTATTAATTTTCTCTTCAACATTTCTTAATTCCTTCTCTCCATCTCTACTGCTACCTTCTAACAATTCTCCCTATGTCCACTCTTGTATCTTCTGTGCTCTCCACACTATAGCCAGAGTTTTATTTTTTTTTCTAATCATGTCATGCTCCCACTTAAAAGCTTTCTATGGCTTCCTGTTATTCCTAGGATTTTTTTATCAAAATTTATATCATAGCTTGTAAGACCCTGCAAGATCTGCTTCAGCTTATCTCTTTTCTCCTCCTACTGCCCTATATCCTCTTAGTTCCTTAAATACAGCACGTCATGTTTCCTACTACCGTAGGGTCTTTGCACATGATTTTCCTCTCCTGGCCCACTCTTTGCCCTTCTCTTTACTCAATCATGATTATAGCTCAGCTAAAATGCCATTTCTTCAGAGAAAGCTTCTTAAACCTCTAGACAATATCAGATCATTTACTTATTCATTTAACAATACTTATTAATAACCTACTCTATACCAGGTACAGTTTTGGACATGTGGGATTGATAAAAACAACAGACCCTTGACTTCATGGATCTTACATTCTGGTGGAAGAAGACAGACAATTAGCAATAAAAATAATAAGTACATTAAATAATATATTTGAAGGCAGTAATTCTATGGGAGGGTTAGAGGAAGAACAAGATAACAAAATTATAAGCAGGGAGTTTCCAGTGCCTAACTTGTTTCCTGGCACAGAGTTAGCACTCAATAACTACTTATTGAGTAAATGAATGAAGGAATAAGCATGTTCAAGTTATGAGAGAACTTAAACTATGAAATGAGTAGAGGAACTACTTTTTGGAAGAAACAAAGATGGCACAAAAGAAAGAGAAACCATGCAGGTCTTGGGAGATAATGGTCGCTTGAACCATTCTTGATAGTTTCATAGTTTCTAGTGCCAATCACTGAATGGTCTTACCAAAACCACCCCCTTTCTCCCCAACCCCCAAGGACTGGATAATTCAAGTGGGTCACTCTTGTAACCAAAATACCTAATCAGGACACATATACAAGATCTTGTATACCACGTCCATCACCCACCACCACTCATATCCCCCAAACCACTGCTTTTCTACACACACCCAGATATCACTTGTATTGAGGCTCCAGTTCTTCTGTTCCCCACCCATTTGAGGGACAAACTCCTTCTCACATACACAGGACTGTAAAAATCCTTGCTGTCTTCTATGATCCTGTAAGATTTGGGTCACTCTCTCTCCAAGCACAGACATGTCTACAAGGGGGTCACCTCAGGAATATGATCCTGGATCTCTCCTCCTATGGGTCTTCTTGCCTCTTAGAGACTATCTTCCACCCATAGATCTGTGGATATGCTCCCCTTGGATTCTGCATGACCTTCAAGCTCACTGACCCCATACACACTCACACTCCGGCTCCAGCCTCCTTGGGCAGGGTTCTGAAGGACTGGGGCTCTTGTCCTTTTATGTTCCCACGTGAGTATACTTTTCTCTGTGACCAGGGGCGACCCTAAGGCACTAGACTTCCTCAAAACACAAATACTCGGTGTATATCCCCCTCCATGGCACTGCTGGATATGAAGTAACACTCTTCTTAAATACACCTGCCTCCTCAGAATCGGAGCCACTCTCCCCAAACCATGCCCTTTAGGGAGCCCCCACATTTTCCCACGGGATTGTGTATATCCTCTCCAGGACACAGCCTACCCCTATTATGAGCCCCATCAGTCCCGTATCCTCCCTGGGGTCCCAGCCCTTTCTAGGTCCGTGTTCACTCAGGGGTGTGCACACTCCTCCATACACCCCTGCGCCACCGGGACCCCAGGTCCCCGCCGGCCGCTCCAGGGGTAGGCACCTCCCTTGACCCCTGACCCCGAGGTCATAGCCCCATTGCGCAAACACACGGCGGCGCCTCCTCCGCAGCAGGGCCACACACAAGCCCCGGTCCCCTCAGGCCCAGGACTGAGGTGCAGCCTCGGTGCTTCCCCTGGCCGAACGCCCCCACAGACCTGCCTCAAGCGCCGTCTGGCTCCGCTCCGCCATTTTTTGCTGTCCCTCCGCCTCTGAGCCCACCCGAAAATCGCGGGGCAGCGGGGAGCGGGCGGTAGGATCTGCGGGCCAAAGGGAGCTTGCCCAGGAAGACGCGGCGCGACGGTTGCCAGGGCAACGGGCGTCCGACTGAAGGGTGACGGGC